GAGTGATTTCCTATAGCAGAGACATCAGACAATGGTGCATTTATCTCCCTATTTGTTTAATCTGTACACAGAACATATCACATCACTCATTCATGAGGTCACCAGAAGTCAGAGCCCACTAAACAGCAAATAACACTCATAACAATCAGTCAAGAGCAAGAGAAAAATAGAACAAAATTTACACATCAAAAGAGCCTAAAGAGTTGTCTCTTGTTCTAGGCTTCCCAGTAGCCAAAAGCAGATTATTAAGGAGAACTACAAGTTTCACCCCAGCTTTTCCTAAAAGGAAATTCTCACGTGGGGCTTTATGTAGGGGAATTTCTTTCTTTGGTTTGTACTTTTTTTTATCCACTCAAGGACATTTTTTCGTTGTTTGTTCGGAGAGAGAGAGAGAGAGAAACATCGACATGAAAGGGACACATCGAGTGGTTGCCACCCGCACGACCCAACCTGGGCCAGGGACAAACTGCAACCAAGGTACACGCCCTTAGTGGGAACCGAACCCGGGTCTCTCTGGACCACAGACCGATGCTCTCTAACTGCTGAGCCAAACCAGCCAGGGCGGGGATTTCTTATTAAATGAAATATTGTAAACACTCAAGTGCTATTTTATGTGATTTTTACTATCTTTTTATCATTGTCATTATCCCGATGTGATACAGTATCTTCAATATCATAATTGCAAGAAATGAAATAATAGTTTTTATTCATAGTACCTCTTTTAATGTCCATCAATAGAAGCCCTATAAAAGCACCAAGTGAAATTTAGTTTGTTAAGAAAATGTGGTTCAAGAATATAGCCTTCTGATGAATCTGCTCAATTATAATTAAAGTCAAGTGTATATGAAGAAACAGAGAGAATGCTTGTTTTTACAAAAATTCTTCCTATGTGAACGTTCAGCTAGGCTCCTGTAGTCATTGAATAGGAGGATTTTTTTTCTCTCAGTTTTTAGAAGGTTCTGAAATGCAGACACTCTGTGTGGTGGATTCAGGAGTGATTCTTAACCTTTAGAGATTAAATAAACAGGTGACACGTTGACATTCTTTTATGGAAACCAAGGAACCTAATGAGTACTCCCTCCAAGATAGCTAGCCCCTTATCTCCACAGAAAGGTAGGCCCAAAGGGGATACTACCAGGAAAGCCCAGAGTTTTCCTCAAGAATTAATGCTCCACCCACCTCAGGATAAGAACATAGGAAAAAGCAATTCCCAAATTGTTACAACCTTGAGCACAGTAAAAATTTCCATATCATTTTTTTTTTTTTTTATCCTCACCCAAGGATATTTTTCCATTTTTTGTACAGATAGAGTGGGAGGGAGAGAGAGGAAGGGAGAGAGAGAGAGAAACATCGATGTGAAGGGACACATCGAGTGGCTGCCACCCGCACGACCAACCAGGGCCGGGGACAAACTGCAACCGAAGTACGTGCCCTTAGCGGGAACCGAACCTGGGTCTCTCCGGACCGCAGGCCGATGCTCTAACTGCTGAGCCAAACTGGCCAGGGCAAAAATTTCCATATCATTTTGTATTCCTTCTTACTAACTTCTCACTATGGTCCTAGAAATTCTTGGTGGTGTTGCCATAATGTCAAATTTGAGAATAGTAGCTTTCCAAAGAAGTGACCAAGATGAATTTATTTACTTGATTAGAAGTTTGAGAATAAATAAAGCACCAGGTGATACTTTTCTGCCATCAAAGTTGCTCAAGGTCTCTTTTCACTTGCAAGTTCTGTTCTCACCAACCAGTTTATCATAATTATTTTCAAGTAAGTGATCTCATCCAGACAAATTCAAAATAAGATTTACCCTACCTTTAAAATGGACAATTCAAGTTTTTAATCAAGTGAACTTTATAAGGAAACATTCCAATGGGAAAGGTATTTAGGATTTTTGACAATCAAGACTATTTTTCTAGCACTAAAGAGCTAAAAGAAAAGTAAGCATTGTAGATATAAACAAGAGTCTGAGCCTCGATTGTTTAAATGACAAGAATAAGGTTTACCTTGAAAATATTCAACATGAAATTAAAAATTTTTGCTAATTACCCCTTTGATGAAAACTCTATTAAGTATCCATTTGAATTTGGTTTGGTCAAGTCTAAAGAGTGCCATTACAAATATATTTGAATTGTGCCAGTTATATTTCTATAGAATTTTTGCAGTTTTTAGAATGTCATTATAATTAGTATAAACATAGGAGTGAATGAAACATTTTTAATATCTAAACTTTTACAAAGATTTGTCATGAAGTTAGTGTGAAATTTAGGGATCTTGCTCAATAGTACTTATTGCTATAACCTCGGACATGTTCTTATTCTTTTCTCCATCCAGTGGAAAACTGATGGCTTGGTTCTTAGGTATGATCATAGGATCACAACTCAATATTTAAGTAGACAGCAGCCAGTTATGGAGCTAATTCAAGCTAATTATTCTTTACAATTTATTTGTCAATTAAATTTGTCAATTGTCAGTTCCGTTTTTGTTTATGGTTTTTATTCTTCTAAAAGTAAAAAAGAGCGTGCCCTGAGTTACAGTGCTGATCCACGTTGAGTAATCTGAACAGATCACCCTAACCTAGTGACCATAAAGTCCATAGAAGTTATTTTCCAACTCTAAAATCATGTGATTTGTAATTTCTATTGAAGTGATGACACTTGCAGTTTGGATTTGCACCTGATTCATATTTAGGTTGAGCAGGTAATGATGTCCCCTCCTTTGGTGCTGCCTTAATAGATTTGCAGGTAGAATACTTTTTCCTAGTACATAGTTCCTCACAAGGTAGATTTATATCTTCTAAAAACCCAAATAGAGTATACATGTATGACACTTTAATAAAAAAGAGACTAGTGCAACACATTCCAAGTTGCTCTTTATATTAGCAGGAAGTTTACTGTAACTTTTCTTACAGTAATAATCCTATGAAATAGGTCCAGGTTATTCACTAACTGCCCCACCACCACCACACACACACACACACACACACACACACACACACACACACTTTCTCATTCTTTTCTCTACCTTCCTTCTCTCCTCCCTCCATTTTTCTCTCCCTCTCTCCCTCCCTCCCTCACTTCTCATTGGCAAGACCCAGAAAGCTTCATCATACAAAAGCTTGAAGAACTTGCCTGTTCACCTGTGCCATATAGTACTCTGGCATGTGTGCTTACACATGCAGCACATTGGGTCACATATATTACTTCAAGAAATGTCATTATCTCAAATATGCAAGGTATGGTGTTAGGCACTGAGGATAAAGTAAACAGAATAAACCTGAACACTGCCCTCCGTTTAGAGGATTAAGTGGTGGCATATTATGAATAAGGAAACAAATTTGGTTGAAAGTACAAAGCTTGTGAAAAGATTTAAAGTGACTTGCCTTGAGACACAGTAAATTAGCCAAATAGACAAAGAGTCTGAGTCAGAATCCTGCAACTCTATGGTTGCCTAAGGACCTGTGATCATCTCTAATTAGCAGTATGGAAAGATTACTGTTCTGAGAGTAATAAGGTCTTGGTTCCTGCACTGGCTCTGCCACTAATTAGCTGTGTCACTTTGAACAAGTCACTTAACATGTCTGGGCCTCAATTTTTCTCATCTATAAAAATGAGAGAAGTGAACTAGGTGGTCCCTAAGATCCTTTTAAAATCTTGAGAGTTTATGACTATCCAAAGATACAACACCAACATACATGAAATTTCTAGTTTTCTTAATGATATAAAGTTGTGTGTGTGTGTGTATAGTTTTTTGTGTACACGTTCAATTATCTATTATAAATTATAATTAAAATGTCAATTACATAGCAACAAAAATATAAAATAACAAACTATTTGTTATTTAAAACATTTTATTGAGCACTTACTGTATATACACAGCACTGTTAGCTACTAGGAGACAGTCAAGGTACCAGTTTTCATGGAACTTTGTTCTCATGGGGAAAGCAAACAGAACATAGTTATTTGTACAATTAATAAAGTTAAATAATAATGTTGATAAATGTAGTAACAGTAAAGAGTAGACTAAGAAGAGAGCGTAGCCAGGGAAGTTCCAGGCAAACTAGGGTGTTGGTCACACAGGACCGTGGTACCTTTTCAAAACAAAAAAGACAGAATAAGGAGACTGAGAATAGTGTGAATGAAGCTAGTAAGGTAGATAAGGAATAGATGATTCTTGGCCTTATAAACCATGTTAATTTTAGAGTTTATTTTTCTCTTGTCCTAAGTGGAAAACCATTGTAAGGCATGGCATGATTAGAATTCATTCTTAGAAAATCCATCTGCCTATAGCAAGAAAAGTGGATTTGGTGGCAATGGTAAAGGTTGTGGTTGTACTGGTGATAAGATTATCACAAAACTAGTTTTAGAAAGATTAGTAAAGTTATTGCAGTAATTGCAGTGAAAGATAATGATGGACTTGGGTAGTGGCAGTAAAGATGGGAAGAAATGAACAGATAAAAGTATATGATATGTTAAAGGTCAAATTGATTAAGTCCAATATTGATTGCAGGAAGGTCAGGTAATGGTGGAAACAGAATAATTGGCACCCAGTAAATTTGAGATAATAGAAAATCCTTAAGGAAACTATGAAATAAATATGTTAAAATTATTCAAGAGAGAATATAAGGATGGAAACCAAAATGTAAGAATAGAGTAGGGTGAAACACATATAAGCAGATTATTTGCTCCAGATTTGAAAACTCCTTTTTTTGCCCAACAGATCTTCACATCATGAATCACATGTGGCAGAGTCAGTAGGTCATTTCAGAAAGTTTTCTTAAAAAGAAAATTTCAAGAGCTAAATTACTAAAAATAAACAAAAACAATTGCATTTTTGCTGTGAGGTTCAGACATTATTAAATATTTTTCACCACCTATTCATTTTCAATCTCAGAAGAAGCATTTCTGATGGTATGTGTGTAGGTGGGAGTGGTCATCAGAAATTGGTTTTATTTTATGTATATAACCTAAATCCCAGTCTGGTCCAACCCGGATCCTGGGAGGATGAAGTTCGTGTATAAAGAGGAACATCCATTCAAGAAGCGCCGCTCTGAGGGTGAGAGATCCGAAAGAAATACCCGGACCGGTCCCGGTGATAGTAGAAAAGGCCCCCAAAGCTCAGATAGGAGACCTGGACAAAAAGAAATACCTGGTGCCTTCTGACCTCACAGTCGGTCAGTTCTATTCCTTGATCCGGAAGCGAATTCACCTCCGAGCCGAGGATGCCTTGTTTTTCTTTGTCAACAATGTCATTCCACCCACCAGGGCCAGGATGGGTCAGCTGTACCAGGAACACCACGAGGAAGACTTCTTTCTGTACATTGCCTACAGTGATAAAAGTGTCTATGGCCTGCGAAGCTGCTGCGCCTGTGGTGGGCGTCCCATTCTACAAAGAGAGGTGCCCCCCCCTTCCTTGACCTCTCTTCAGGACCTGCACTTCCTAATATTGGGGGCTCTTCTCCAGAACCTCTTAACAGGAGGGTTAATGGGGGAAATGGTCTCTAGTACCTCTCCTTTCTCTATTTTTCCCCTTTCTCTGCCACCTTTCCCACTCTGCTTTAGACTTCTTGATTGTTGATCTCTGTCACATCCAGTGATTGTTTTGGTTTCTGTTCCCTTTCTAACTGCCTAAGGGGCTCAGAATCCCAACAGTCTTTTCCTTTCACTACCTTTTTTGGGGGTAGATGGAAGGGACTGAAATTGTGTGGGGAAGGTAGGAGGCACATCAATAAAGAGGAAACCATTAAGCTGGAAAAAAAAAAAAGTAAAGTCATAATAATGAGGTTGATTTGGCTTGACCAAGTATTAAAATATGTGTTGCTAGGGTAGGAATCACCAGTCTGATAAGTGAAGCGTAAGAGAGGTTAGAAAGAGATCAAATCACACATGGAAATGTAATATATAATAAATTATTTTTAAAAACTTTGTTTTTTAATCCATGTTTATATCTCATAAATGTTTTTAATAAACTTAAAACATTTCTGTTTTTCCTAAAAGAATGTTATTTAGCTAAAATTAGTTTTGTGTTTTTATTTTATTCTTTCCATCACATTTTATCCTCTTCCATCTTCACCCCCCTTCAACCCAACAATCACCACATTGTTGTCCACATCCATGAGCGCTCTCTCTTTTTTACTTACCCCCTATACACCACCCCTCACTAGAGTTGTCTGCCTGCTATACAACCATATTTTATTAATCTTTTTTGTGTCTACTTTTCTACCAGAATAATTTTCCCAACTTGTTAATTTTAATTAGCATAATTTTGTTGTCTGTATAATATTTGTTCAAAAAGTATAACATTAACTACTGCCTAGATGAATATTTATTTATATTGCCTTTTTTATATATATATCCTCACCCTAGGACATTTTTTCATTTTTTGTTCAGATAGAGTGGGAGAGAGAGAGAAACATCAATGTGAAAGGGACACATCGAGTGGCTGCCACCTGCACAACCCAACCAGGGCCGGGGACAAACTGCAACTGAGGTACGTGCCCCTAGCGGGAACCTAACCCGGGTCTCTCTGGACCATAGGCCAACACTCTAACCACTGAGCCAAACCAGCCAGGGCTATATTGCTTTTTTCTATTAAAATACCCGGCCTGGTCGGGGTCATTCAGGAGGCAAAAAATTGATGTCTCTCTCTCACATCGATGTTTCTCTCTCTCCTTCTGTCCCTTCCACTCTAAAAATCAATGGGAAAATATCCTCAGGTGAGGATTAACCAAGAAAAATAAAAACCTAAAATAATAATAAATATCTTCAGGCATTTTTTTTCCTTTTAAACTTTCTTGATTTATATTTTCAGAAGTGAAAATACTGTCTCAAAGAGTGTCAGCTATTTTTTGGTTCTTGAAATATACTGCTGTGTTTCTGTCTATGTAACCACAGATACGAAAGCATTTAGCATCATCTCCCATTTGGAACATTGTATTTCAGGTCTTTATTTTGCACTAACCAGAATGATACCATTTATTCTGCTTTGCTCTAGGAAAGGAGTCAAGCTTCTCCTTTGAGTGTTGCATATATATAAGTCTAATAAACCTTCAGCTAGATTGTTTTAGCTGTCTTTAGCTTATTGATTTCTTTGAAATGCCACCTCGTTATACAAATTTTAAGTGATAAATACATACTTGTTTGATAGTTTAAAAACTGAGCATAAAATAATTTTATCCTCATCATTAATCTATTAAAGAGATGAAGTTACTACCCTTTGGAAACAGTACTAGTAAAGAGCAGAGACTCTTCCAGGGCCAGACAACCTGAATTTGCATCCTGGCTCTATCATTTAATAACTATGACCACAGGCAATGTGATATACCTTTCCGTGCCTCCGCTTGAGTATAAAAACTGTACAGGAGTGCCCTGGCCAGTTTGGCTCAGCGGTTAGAGCATTGACCTGCAGTCCAGAGAGACCCAGGTTCAGTTCCTGCTAAGGGCGTGTACCTCGGTTGCAGTTTGTCCCCAGCCCAGGTTGGGGTGGTGGGGGAGGCAGCCACTCAGTGTGTCCCTTTCATGTCGATGTTTCTCTCTCTCTTCCTCTCTTTCCCTCCCACTCTTTCTGAACAAAAATGAAAAAATGTCCTCTGGTAAGGATGAAGAAAAAAAAAAACTGTACAGGATTGTTGTGAGCATTGAATGAATTAATATATGTAAAACATTTCGAATGATGCCTGACACAGTAAGTGTTGAGTAAATGTTGAAGTGGCACATTACATTTATTCTAACCCTTTGCTAGACTGCTTTCAGCAAAAACTAGAAAGCAAACACCTGTACGTTCTAGAATCCTTTGTATCTAAGACTCTGGATTTGAACTAGGTTCCACCAGTTAGATGCATTCAGATGGGATTTTGAAAAAGGAAGTGATGTGGAGGCTCTCTTCCTGCTGCTCTGGCCTATTGCTGTTGACAAGCACAGCTGTGGACACCTGGAGTTGTGTGTGCAGTGTCTAGTTGCTCATTTTGTGCAGGTTGAGAGGCTGGTGCAGTGGTGGCTTCCTGATTTGCAGCCATAGTAGGGTATTCTTGAACTTTTCAACTCAGGCAGCCACCACCTGATTTCTCACCACCCTGCCTGTGTATATTTGAGCATCATGCTTTTAGCCCTTGCTTTTAGCCCTTCCAACAATCTTATAAGTATGGAATTGTCAAAGTAAAATCCATTTTGCTTAAAATGTAGACGTTTCTGTTTCGTGCTACTGTCATGGCACTGGTAGTGGTAGCAGCAGGAGGAGCAGCATAGTAGTTATTGTATAGTAGAATGCAGTAGTAGTAGTCATTGCTATTGAAACTCTTTTGCATTATGAATCTGTCTAAAAGGGAAAAACTTTAAAGGCAAGATGGCCATTGTTTGTAATTGATCATGATGCTTTTCCCTCTGAACCTAAACAAGCAATAGAACCCTTTTCAGCTCAGAAAAAAGTAGCCACTACCATTAAACTCGAGTTACTTTGCCAGTCTTACTTTATATTTGTGAAATTTTTTTTAGACTTTGGCTTCTCTGCAGCTTTATATTACACAATATGCATTATTGGTTAGAGTGCATACTAACTTAGAGAGAGAAAGGGGTCGGGGAGGAGATTGGTATTCGGACCAGTGTGAACCATCTAGGTAAAAGGAGGTCATATTTCAGTTTAACAAGTATTTCTTGTGCTTCTACTCTTTACCAGTTGCTAGGCACTGGGAACCTATAGATATGAATAAGATACATTCGATTTTCTCAAATTGCTCACAATGGGAAGACAGACCTACAAATAAATAAATTGCATTCTGTACTGGATTATGAGGAAAGTGAGATCAGTGCCTTGTTCACTATTGTAACCTTATCACCTACTACAGTGCCTGGGATATATGTGCTTAGCAGATATTTTTTAGATAAATACGATGTGAAGTATCAGATTAGCGTGGACAAACGATAAACAGTTAACATGGGAAGGTTAGGAAAACCTTTTGTTGGCACTCTAGTGATGTCATTAAATGGTTCCATAATGAAATAAGTTTGGGAATCAGCACATTGTATTTCCCTTGTAGAGAGAAGCATGACACATCAACATGTTATAGATTCTGATGAGTTCTCCAGTAAAGAAATAGTTTAATTATGGTCAACCAAATGCTTTTCCAAAGATTTTTTTTTTTAATCCTCACCCAAGGATATTTTTACATTTATCTTCAGACAGTATGGGAGAGAGAGACAGAGAGAAAAAAAAAATTAAAAAAACATCGATGTGAGACACATCAATTGGTTGCCACCCCCACGAACTGCAACCAAGGCACATGGCCCTGGCCAGAATCGAACCTGGGACTCTTTGGTCAGCAGGCCAACACTCTAACCACGGAGCCAAAATGACCAGGGCTGTTTTGCAAAGATATTTGACTACAAAACCCTTTCAGCGCCTCATTGTGTAGGACACAGTTTGGGAAATGCTGCCCCAATTATTTCCTCAAGCTAATCTCTAATCAAAATTATTTTATGATGCTAGAACATTGTCACTTTGATAATAGCACTTAAAATCTTGGTGTCATCATCTTGGTATTCTGAGTATGTTTAAATAACTTACAGATATAGCTTTACAAAAGTATATTTAGCAAGACATTTCTTTAGTCTCTGTGTCAGCAGCAAACATAATTTCTTTATTACAGATTGTAAAAGGTGGGACACTCTAAAGAACAAAGCATTTTAAACAATCCAGATCTTCTTTGCATTGAAAAAAATAAATTAATAATAACTTTTAAAGTGAAAATGGGTTGTTTAAAAGTTTTCTTTTTACTTAGTTATTTGGTCTATTTATTTTAATACACTCTTTTTCTATCAAGATTCTACCCATAATACACCTCTCTAAATCATTTACACTATAAGACGATATGGTGGCTATCAAATTTTCAATAGAATACTTTTTATCTAAATTGGCTTTATATAAATCTTGTTGAATCATTTTATTTTGTGGTATGTTGCTAAACAAGATATTTACATTAAATAAAAATTTTAATGTGAATTTCAAACCTACTTTTGGGAAAAAAATCCTGATCATGCCTAATGTAAGTAAAATAGTCTTTTTTTAAAAAATTGCTTAACACTGAGAATCTTTGTTATGTATGAATTTTCCTTTATATATTTGTGTCTTATTAGCTTTGGTAAATTGTTTTGCTTCTTAAACATATCTTAGATGACTAAAAATAACATCACAAAACATGTTTGTTATATTCTTAATTGTTTTGACCATAGAATTAATTTTAAAGTCAAAAGGGGCATTGCTTTTTCATCATTTCCAGTTCAGAATATTCAGCATGTCACAGATGTTCATGAATAATGTCCATTTAAAACTGTTGGCAGAGTGCTGGTGAGTTGGCTAGATGAATTAAATGTTGGGGGGATCTGACAGGCAGCACGCTGCTTTGTGATCATTCCAAAGTTCTAATAATCTCCCTCACCTTCTCTGCCTGCCACTAATGAAAGAGAATAGGTGATTGCACCTCCGGCTATGTTCTGCGCCTAATGACTCCTCCAAAGGCAGATTTATGAAGAAAAAATTAACTTTGAATGAGGATTGAATTGGCCCTGACAGTCTGATAGACTGTG